TTGTGTAATTGTATGATATTTTAGATTTACGAGTGACAGAATTGAAGGCCAAATTATTTATTTTGTTGTGATATCTGGTATAAATATACCACTAATTTTTTACACAAGAACAACAAGATATGGTCGATGTAATTAACACCCGAGCTGGATGATGAATTGCGGGTAAGACTAGGAAATGTTGGGCTGAAAAGTGGTGTTATACCTACACAGGAGATCTAGATCCCAGAAACATACAGTTTATCATATATTCTTTAAAGCGTTTATTGATCCCTGGCATTTGCTCACGGTTTAAAGTTACCTCACTTCAAGAAGCCTTGAATGATTTGGGTGAAGGCTTATGTGTTGAGCATTACTCTCTCCGGTTTTTGTGACCGAAAGCCATCACAGGGCTTAGCTATGTGGCAGTGGAGCAATTAAAACATACATCTATTATACCAAACATACATAATGTAAAGTGTGGCTGGTGTAATTATACCATACATACATAACCACATACATAAGGTAAAGTCTGGCTGGTGTAATTATACCATACATACATAACCACATACATAAGGTACAGTGTGGCTGGTGTTATTATACCAGTGATCTGTTTACTGTGGTGTGGTTGGTGTTATTATACCAGTGATCTGTTTACTGTGGTGTGGCTGGTGTTATTATACCAGTGATCTGTTTACTGTGGTGTGGCTGGTGTTATTATACCAGTGATCTGTTTACTGTGGTGTGGTTGGTGTTATTATACCAGCGATCTGTTTACTGTGGTGTGGTTGGTGTTATTATACCAGCGATCTGTTTACTGTGGTGTGGCTGGTGTTATTATACCAGGGATCTGTTTACTGTGGTGTGGTTGGTGTTATTATACCAGTGATCTGTTTACTGTGGTGTGGCTGGTGTTATTATTCCAGCGATCTGTTTGCTGTGCTAGAAAGAGATCATCTACATCAACAAAGTCAAAGTTCAGACAGAATGTGTTTGTATCAGGTAGATCAATAAACAGTTTCTGTAGGTCGGTGAAATAAGCTATCTTAACTTTACATCAGATATAAGCTACTACACTGCAAAGTTTAAATACTTTAATATTAAAAATATGTGTAACTAATCTGAATTTGTAAGATACCTGAATTAAACATCTCTGTGTAAAACGGAGCCTACTTTGCGTAATGTCAAAGCTATTAAATTCTGCCTTAGGAGATTTATGAAGGATGAGAAGAATCACCATTTGCTCTCTAGACTTGTAATATAGATTTCTCTGCAGTGATTTAATTGATGTTTGTAACATTCCAGTAAAACAGCCCTGTGTCATAGGTATGTTACTGATTCCTACATCACACGACGTCACAAACCGCCCCCGTATATATGTCATCTGTAAACCACATGTAGGGTACATCACCTGTCAATTCATGTAATCGCACAATCTTTATACACCCGTATTAACCCATTAATGGTAAAAAGTTAGATATTGGAAGATTTATAGATTTATTTGGAATCAATGTGGATAAAAAAAATGGTTTTCTCATCATCCGCTAAATTTAAGTTGGTTAATTCTCATGTATCCAGTATCAAGATGTTTCACCAATAGCCACTAGTTCATTTACTTTATATCTTCACTTATATAGGTCACAATTTATATATCTATAAACAATGAGACACTTTTTCACAATTGCCATATAAGTATGTACATAGCCATACCTCTACCATTCCAGTGAAATATGAACTGGTTTGAAGTTTCTACAAACGGTATGAAAAAGTAGAATTGTGTTCAAGTGTGATTTTTTTTAATTTTTTAGTCTTATATCAAAATGTGAGTTTTCATATACATACATGTTCATATAGGGAGTGTGTGCTATTTTACCAACTTTGGAGTGATTTCCAAGAGTGATATTTGTTATATTGACATCTGAAAATATAACTGGAGTCTATGAGACTGCTTCACAACCCCGGGGCCAGACAGGGTGCTACAGCTCTGGGGCCCGGACAGGGTGCTACAGCTCTGGGGCTGGACAGGGTGCTACAGCTCTGGGGCCAGACAGGGTGCTACAGCTCTGGGGCCGGACAGGGTGCTACAGCTCTGGGGCCGGACAGGGTGCTACAGCTCTCAGTTTTGATGCATTAGGAAGGCATATGTTCTGACTTTTGGTACTGGAGACCTCAAAAAGAATTCTGTAAAATGTACTTGTTAGACCTTTACAGTGTATCGTTGTTAAATTTAACAGATACCTTGTGTGTCTACATTGTATGTACAACTTGATTAATACTATCAATTGATAAGTGTACAGTATCTGTGTATCGTTAGATATTTTATAACAGTGCACCATTTGTTGGATAGTTTTTGACAGTGTATTTCTGGATGCTTTTTAGTTAATCCTGTATCTTACACCTAGACTAGTGTACTTAACACTGATGGGGGAGAGGTGGTGTATACAAAGCATTGACACATGTTTAACCACATGTAATTGGTCTATCAGACTGTTCGCTGTAATCCTACAGTAATTTGCTGTCAAAGGAGACACTTCAATCTCAGCAGGTGCTTGTCAATTAAACCCTGATATAGAGTTCTGTCAGCTTTCATTGGGTCAAAGGTCATAGGTCAGCCTTTTTGAAGTTCTTCAAAGGTCATGACCTGATGAGGTAAGAACACGTAAATCTTATCAGAACAGGTTTAATTATCTCCTATTGTGATACATGAAGACTGAAGTGTCTTTTAAATCTTAAGGATTTGAATTCGACTCGAATCATCTCAAAAGAAGTTTTAAACCCCGCTTTGGTGTGTGCTTGAAACAAGTAACTGAACCTACAGGGTTTTGTGTTGTTTTTAGGATTGTTTACAAAATACCATGACTTTAGAATATTGTTTCCTTATGTGGACCTGTTTGTGGTAAACATTTCCATTGGAATGTTTACAAAGGTCACTGAAGTAAGTGACACAACAGTTGCCTGGTATAGTGAGTAGTATGGAAGGTGTAAGGCAACAGGTCATAGACCTATCATTCCGAAATATTCATAACGTGATGTTAGTGCAATCTACCTGCCTCAGTGCATCGTCACATACGTGGCCACACCGGACCTGGTGTCTATTACAGCGCTGTGTAAACACCGCCTAATACCTGTTACAGATGACATATTATCATTGGCATGCTGTACATACTGATATGTCCTAGGTCCCCATTGTACACAAACGTGTCACACCCTCTGGCTCCGTACCTATTTAAAATCGTGGCTGACCCCCTAAGCTTGTAGACCCTTCCTCCAGTGTGATTCAGTGTGAAAACAGTACACATTGTGTTACACTGCCTGCTAGCTATACACTAGTGTTATATCAAGTATTGTCATTGTTTTAAATTTACCTAGGAGAACAGTACAAGAAGTTAGGAGTACATTAACCCTTTCACCCCTAGGTAACTTTAGAAGACTCTACCATACATTGATCTGGATGAGTCCATTACGGTCTACAGTGGTGAAAGGGTTAAGGACGACAACCTATGAACCAGTACTGGACTTGCTATAATCCTGCTCTAACATAAGAAAAAGCACCATGCATATTTTTGTTTTGATTTTCAAATCTAATCCAGTAACTTGTCTGACCATCAACTACAGCTAGGTTCTAATGTTGTCTATTAACAGCTAGGTTCTACTGTTGTCTATTAAGTTTGTGTAATTTGGAGGACAGAGATGTTGGTTTATTTTAGGTTTAGTTTAGTCAGGTTTCAAAGTAGTGTTTACTCTCTAATTAGATCTGTAGCATGGTATGATCTGTGATAATTCTTCCTTTTCAGAATTTTGGTGGTGACATATTGTGATAATTAAATCTAACACAAATAATCCAGTTTTAAGTACTGTCTAGCGATCTTAGAGCGGACGTCTCATTCAGTACACACAGGATCAAGTGTGACAGAGTTACTCCCCTTTCCCCATAAGAGTTGTAGCTTGAGAGCTCCATTCATGTGAACAATAAAAGATTTTATGTAGAAAAACTGGTTTTATTGTGTTGTTAGTTGTAGCAGTTATGTACTTAGTGTTTTGATTGTGTGAAGGTTGGAGCTTTTACTTACCTTAAATGGTCTTACCCTCCCCACATATGGGGTATTTTGTCTGGTCTGTCCTGGACTACATGTAAATATCCTGGTCTCCCTACATACATGGGGTATACTCTGTACAGGGACATTGATAGTACAGGCGCTATCTGTTTTTGTATATCACAACACTGTGGGATTTGTGATTTCCCCAAGCTCACATCAAAGAATTCTTCATTATCGTGTAAACTGAGTCACTCTCGAAAATATCAGTTATGTCCTCATTAAATAATTAATGTGTGAGACAAGCCGTGGATAATGGTTATTTCTGGTTTCTGTACTTGGTATACTAACAGTTGCCTTAGTAAATAGAGTGTGTATGTGAAGATAGTGGTTCCAGTTCATTACAGAAATCAGGATTTCCATCAGGTGTGATGTGTGGTAACCCCAGGAAAGAAGATATAAAAATAAACGAAATATCAAGAAACATCAAGTTGAACTTTTGTTCTGCTAGTGTCCTGGATACAATAAAAACCTAACATACCTTATATATACTTTCCTAATTTATCAGATCTACACTGGATGATCATTCCTCAAACAAAAAAAATCACAATACATTTTATGTATCAAATGTGTGTTGAAAATACTCAATGAGTACTTGTGTGTGTTGATATTTACTCCCTATTAATAATACTCAACTGGAAATATTCATCCAATCCAATGTTTGCCATACATTGGTGGTAAAATCCATATTTGTTGGATGTTGATTTCACCCTTCATAGTAGAAACTGTATAGTAAGTTGTGGAATTACAACAGCTGTTATGATAAATTTGTGTTCATTACAGAGGGCATATAACATCAAAGTCGGCCATCCATTATACTGTATTTTCATGTCATGTTGGTAGTTAAAACCAGCTGTTATTGTTCAGTAATTAATGATATAATTTGTTTGTGATTTGTTGTTACCATGTTCCAACTGTTTGTGTGTTTAGGTGGTACCCTGAAGATCTATGGCGATACTCTCAAACCTGACATTCCCTACAAGACGTTACTGCTATCCACCAGTGATACTGTGGCTGGCATCGTCAAGGAAGCCATGGAGAAATATGGACTAGAGAATGAGGAGACAGAGGATTTCTGCCTCGTACAGGTGCAAAACTAAATTGTTAATAATACTGACCATTCATAAATAAATGCTTACCTTTTGTTTTTGTTTTTTTTACAGGTAATAATGTAATCAAAAACAAAAATCATTAAAAGCATTTTAATGCATTTTATTTCACAAAAAACTTGGTATATGAAAAAGTTGTTTTACAAGACAAATAGCATGGTACAAGATACAAGAATTTTATTTATTTAACGTCACATATTTAAAACAATAAAACATTAGCACTGTGGTGTTGGTTAGCTGTCAGATTCACCATTAGAACCTACTGACCTATCTATCTGTTTGTCCTCAGGTGATTGTGCCCCCAGGGGAACAGGAGTACCACGGCGGATCGATGGGGGAGGAGAGGATCATGGACGACACTGAATGCCCTCTATTTATTGCCATGGAGTTTCCACCAGCTAGAGGTAGGTCTGCCGGAGAAACAACGCCTGTAGTCATTCCCTATATACTATCCCTTTATACAAGTTCAAATGTTCTTAATATTAGATTATTTCGGGATATTCTTGGTATGTTATGGCCGTTCCTACAGGTGAACTGACTGCTTTTACACTTTCAATAATTATGACAATACCAGGTGCATTATTTATGCAGTGACATGGTCTCTGGTGGAACATTGTCTAACGATGCAGCTGGACATATCAGAATCGACAGAAGAGAAAATTGTCTTTCATCATTTATTTGTTTGGAAGATATTTCTTGGATTGACACATATTTAATCTCGCAAACATATCATAGAAAACATATATCAGATATTTGGATGGATTTCTCATGTTGATTTTGTAAATTAGGAAATAATCAAAAATCCCCCAAAAGATATCTGCCATTACAGTATATGACGGATGTCAAACTCTACCGACTAAATTACTCTAATAGGGTTAAGATGTCTGCCTCCAGATAAAGTGATAATGATTTTGTGGAATATCACCTTTCTTTTCTAGATTAATTTTAGTTAAAAAGTCATTCGATGTTAGAATTGATTCAATTTAATGCCTACAGTTTGCCTTGTTAAACCTTTTATCATTGTTACCTCCCCTTGGCCAACTATTGATCCTAAAACTGAATGTTTGCCTCTGGGCAGCTCTAATGTAATTTACATACTTGGTTACTATGGTATCATACGGGAATTTTCTCAATTGGTTTTGTCATTCTCTAAATCATATTTTGCTGTGGAGAAATAAAGAAATTTTGACTTTTGCAATATGAATATGTTACTGCATTTCCTACAATAATTGATAAATTCAATATGACGTGAATTTGATCAGTTTGGTATTGATTATTGTCGTGGCCCCTGTTGCCGGTATTGTGTAGGGTTATGAAGCAGCCACAGCTTGCCTGTTGCTCTGGGCTGACTTTCTCTAGCCATTGATGGCAGCATTGAATTATTATTGGTGCCAAAAGAATAAAAATTCTTGGAACTCTTCTGTCCAGACATTTGATAGATGTTGTCAATAAAATGTCTCCTGTTAGCCACTGCTTTGTCTTCAGCTGGTCGCACAATAAGTCGCAGCTTCATGCTTAACAACCACTGTTTAAGGCAATAGTTTTAACATTCATGAAAAATTTATTTTCAATAAAATTTTACGACCGAGGCTTATCCCCCAGAGACTTATGGAGATGGATGAAGAGGTAGTGGATGTTTGTAACATTAGAGTTGGAAGGGAGACTTAAATTAAACTGTGCTGGCAACAAGGCACAGGCTATAGGCATCTCTCCTGATAGGGTGAAAAAAGGACGAGCATTTTAAAATGATATCCCTCAATGTGCAGAGTAATTAATCATAGATAAGCTAGATCTGCGTCTTATAGATTGAAATGGATTGTAATTAATACTTGTAAGAACAATTTACCATGTTTAATATATAAGAATTGTGAAAGTAAATAAACGTTACAAGATATTTTTGGTGTACCATGAACTCTTGAGAGCCAAACGGTTGTTTTCTGAGACCTGACTCAGTGCTTTACAGTTATCTAGTTGTGACCTGAAATCTGATGGTGTCATACCATGTAAATATATCCTAGTCTGGTATCAACATACCATGTAAATATATCCTAGTCTGGTATCTAGATACCATGTAAATATATCCTAGTCTGGTATCTAGATACCATGTAAATATATCCTAGTCTGGTATCTAGATACCATGTAAATATATCCTAGTCTGGTATCTAGATACCATGTAAATATATCCTAGTCTGGTATCTAGATACCATGTAAATATATCCTAGTCTGGTATCTAGATACCATGTAAATATATCCTAGTCTGGTATCTAGATACCATGTAAATATATCCTAGTCTGGTATCTAGATACCATGTAAATATATCCTAGTCTGGTATCTAGATACCATGTAAATATATCCTAGTCTGGTATCTAGATACCATGTAAATATATCCTAGTCTGGTATCTAGATACCATGTAAATATATCCTAGTCTGGTATCTAGATACCATGTAAATATATCCTAGTCTGGTATCTAGATACCATGTAAATATATCCTAGTCTGGTATCTAGATACCATGTAAATATATCCTAGTCTGGTATCTAGATACCATGTAAATATATCCTAGTCTGGTATCTAGATACCATGTAAATATATCCTAGTCTGGTATCTAGATACCATGTAAATATATCCTAGTCTGGTATCTAGATACCATGTAAATATATCCTAGTCTGGTATCTAGATACCATGTAAATATATCCTAGTCTGGTATCTAGATACCATGTAAATATATCCTAGTCTGGTATCTAGATACCATGTAAATATATCCTAGTCTGGTATCTAGATACCATGTAAATATATCCTAGTCTGGTATCTAGATACCATGTAAATATATCCTAGTCTGGTATCTAGATACCATGTAAATATATCCTAGTCTGGTATCTAGATACCATGTAAATATATCCTAGTCTGGTATCTAGATACCATGTAAATATATCCTAGTCTGGTATCTAGATACCATGTAAATATATCCTAGTCTGGTATCTAGATACCATGTAAATATATCCTAGTCTGGTATCTAGATACCATGTAAATATATCCTAGTCTGGTATCTAGATACCATGTAAATATATCCTAGTCTGGTATCTAGATACCATGTAAATATATCCTAGTCTGGTATCTAGATACCATGTAAATATATCCTAGTCTGGTATCTAGATACCATGTAAATATATCCTAGTCTGGTATCTAGATACCATGTAAATATATCCTAGTCTGGTATCTAGATACCATGTAAATATATCCTAGTCTGGTATCTAGATACCATGTAAATATATCCTAGTCTGGTATCTAGATACCATGTAAATATATCCTAGTCTGGTATCTAGATACCATGTAAATATATCCTAGTCTGGTATCTAGATACCATGTAAATATATCCTAGTCTGGTATCTAGATACCATGTAAATATATCCTAGTCTGGTATCTAGATACCATGTAAATATATCCTAGTCTGGTATCTAGATACCATGTAAATATATCCTAGTCTGGTATCTAGATACCATGTAAATATATCCTAGTCTGGTATCTAGATACCATGTAAATATATCCTAGTCTGGTATCTAGATACCATGTAAATATATCCTAGTCTGGTATCTAGATACCATGTAAATATATCCTAGTCTGGTATCTAGATACCATGTAAATATATCCTAGTCTGGTATCTAGATACCATGTAAATATATCCTAGTCTGGTATCTAGATACCATGTAAATATATCCTAGTCTGGTATCTAGATACCATGTAAATATATCCTAGTCTGGTATCTAGATACCATGTAAATATATCCTAGTCTGGTATCTAGATACCATGTAAATATATCCTAGTCTGGTATCTAGATACCATGTAAATATATCCTAGTCTGGTATCTAGATACCATGTAAATATATCCTAGTCTGGTATCTAGATACCATGTAAATATATCCTAGTCTGGTATCTAGATACCATGTAAATATATCCTAGTCTGGTATCTAGATACCATGTAAATATATCCTAGTCTGGTATCTAGATACCATGTAAATATATCCTAGTCTGGTATCTAGATACCATGTAAATATATCCTAGTCTGGTATCTAGATACCATGTAAATATATCCTAGTCTGGTATCTAGATACCATGTAAATATATCCTAGTCTGGTATCTAGATACCATGTAAATATATCCTAGTCTGGTATCTAGATACCATGTAAATATATCCTAGTCTGGTATCTAGATACCATGTAAATATATCCTAGTCTGGTATCTAGATACCATGTAAATATATCCTAGTCTGGTATCTAGATACCATGTAAATATATCCTAGTCTGGTATCTAGATACCATGTAAATATATCCTAGTCTGGTATCTAGATACCATGTAAATATATCCTAGTCTGGTATCTAGATACCATGTAAATATATCCTAGTCTGGTATCAACATACCATGTAAATATATCCTAGTCTGGTATCAACATACATGTAAATATATCCTAGTCTGGTATCAACATACCATGTAAATATATCCTGGTCTGGTATCTAGATACCATGTAAATATATCCTAGTCTGGTATCAACACACCATGTAAATATATCCTAGTCTGGTATCAACATACCATGTGAATATATCCTGGTCTGGTATCAACATACATGTAAATATATCCTAGTCTGGTATCAACATACCATGTAAATATATCCTGGTCTGGTATCTTGATAATATGTAAATACTAATTTGTGGCTCACTTACTTGTTAATATTATTGTGAGAAGAAAAAATGATCATGGTAAAAAGAAAAATGACATGCAAGATGTATGTTCTGGCATAAAAAAACATGGTTACGAAGAAAAAATCAATGAAGATGCCTTGGAGTGAATCTAAGAACCAATAGAATTTGATGTTGCCTGGTGGTGAGATCTGGAAATGACTTTGAACTAAAGGTGACTCAGAGTATTGGCTGGTACCTGTGTTACGTGTTGTTATTTAGAGCGATTCCTTTATCTCCTGTCTTTGTTGGTATTAGAATTACTGAATTCTGCACACAATTGGTATGGACACATACAGTTATTTTGGTTTTGATTCTGTAGGATTATCGGTTTCAAAAAGTAACAGTATTCTGAGTATTCACTATGGAATTGAATTTTAGATAAGGATTTTTGCATCATGTTGTATCTTCAACTTTCAGTTGATGGAGATACATATACATGTATTTTATTTATTCTGGTGGTATAAGTAGCAAAATTTGAAATCTGAGGAATGAGTTGGTTTGAAGCTCTATGCTGTTCTTGCTAAAGTAGATATGATATTTACTCTTCTTGTTATAGGTACTGTACTGTTCCAACTGAAACGCCGATCTTCTGACCAGATATCGACAAAACACAAGAAGCTTCGTGCTGTGTCACACGACGACCTTCGCAGTCACCCTAGAGATGAACCTGACACAATGCCACAGAATAAACTCCCGTACCTGATAGAGCTCCAGCCAGGTAAGCCCTCGCAGACACTCAGAATCTCACCAGGTCAGTTCTCACAGACACTCAGAATCTCACCCAGGTCAGTCCTCACAGACACTCAGAATATCACCCAGGTCAGTCCTTGCAGACACTCAGAATCTCACCCAGGTCAGTCCTCGCAGACACTCAGAATCTCACCCAGGTCAGTCCTCGCAGACACTCAGAATCTCACCCAGGTCAGTCCTCGCAGACACTCAGAATCTCACCCAGGTCAGTCCTCGCAGACACTCAGAATCTCACCCAGGTCAGTCCTCGCAGACACTCAGAATCTCACCCAGGTCAGTCCTCGCAGACTCTCAGAATCTCACCCAGGTCAGTCCTCGCAGACACTCAGAATCTCACCCAGGTCAGTCCTCGCAGACACTCAGAATCTCACCCCGGTCAGTCCTCGCAGACACTCAGAATCTCACCCAGGTCGGTCCTCACAAACACTCAGAATCTCACCCAGGTCAGTCCTCACAGACACTCAGAATCTCACCCAGGTCAGTCCTCGCAGACATCCTGATTTCACCCAGTAATACTCAGATTTCATACAATCAATTCTCGCAGAAACTCAGATTTCATCGTATCAGGTAAATCCTCATTGAAGCTCAAAATTCACCCTGGTAGGTGTGCAAAAAAGATAGATTTACCAAGGTAAGTCTGTACAGAAAGTCAGAATTTACACAGGTAAGTCTGCACAGAAAGTCAGAATTTACACAGGTAAGTCTGCACAGAAAGTCAGAAATTACACAGGTAAGTCTGCACAGAAAGTCAGAATTTACACAGGTAAGTCTGCACAGAAAGTCAGAATTTACACAGGTAAGTCTGCACAGAAAGTCAGAATTTACGCAGGTAAGTCTGCACAGAAACTGATTTCACATATCCTTCTTGTAAATTGTGCTCATATGATAACAATTCTGATTTCTCAGTTGTTTTGAAAAGGCCTGTCATAACAAAAAATCTTTAATTTAAATTTAAAATAAAAACATAATATTGCCAACATGGTAATATCATTTTATTAAAAAAAAAAAAAAGGATCATTGAATATTTCACATTTGTAATATTTCACATTTGTAATATATTTCACATTGGTAATATTTCCATTCCGAGTCTAAATATTTACAGATTCTATGCTCTTTACTAAAATAAAATTATTTATACAGAAATGTTGTAAGAGGCATAAAGTTATTGGCTTTTAAACTGTTTCCTCATGGATTGTTACAGACGGTTCTGATAATCCAAATGGGAGGATACACCAGATCCATCGAAAGTTTACAGACGTGGGTAGTGACAAGGCCACTGCTGTCATATTTGTAAGTGTAGCCAGAATAGAATTTACTTGGACCAATTGTTTGAGGTCATTTGTTTTTCAACTTAAAATTTTTGACTTGTCAGGAAATCTTAATGAAAAATAGTTTAGAATAAAGAATCCATTATCATCTTTTTCTGTTTTTTAATGAGGACAAAAATTTGCAGGACAATTTCTTCTAATGTACACTAGTATCATTTAATGTTTAAATGTTATATATGGTGCCACTTACTGAGTAAGTCTGAGTTCTACTACTTTACAGTTTTGTAGTCAAGACTTACAGTATGAGGCTTTACTGTTGGCTAGCTTACCAAGCATGGAAGTATTTAAATATAAAAGCTGACAGTACTTATCTACACTAACATTCTACCATGTTTTGTACTGTAGGCTAAGGGGACAAACATCCAGCCAAGACACTGTGTGATTGGCTTATCGCCCAATGATGGCATTGTCACGGTAACACCAACCAGTGCGGAATCCGAGACATATGTCAACAACCAGCGTGTGTATGAGACAACAACGCTACAGAATGGAATGACAGTGAGGCTAGGAAAATTCAACTACTTCCGATTCCTTGATCCAAATTACGAGGAGGTGAGAATTATACCAAGTGAAGGTCATTTTAGACAGGGTACATTTCCATCATGTTAGCCCACAAAATAAATAATATTCAATTCATTATTTAGTTCATACAACTTTTTGTTGTAACAGGTGGATGTCTTTTTATCCTATACCATACCTTGTTGCATGTTTTTATGGTGACATGCATTTATATTATTAACTGGATTTCTGACGCCTTAATTTTTTTCTTATTGACAAATTATAGTTTCCTTTATCATTTGAAAATGCAAGTGCAGCACAACTTGTCAGGTTAATAGTCCAATTAATGTCGTACCATTAAAGAGGAGTTTTAGGTAATTTAACTTTTGAAATGGAAAGGTGTAGCATATTTTGAACAGATACACTCAAATGGTAAATTTGTAGGAACTTGCATTCATGATGTATACAGAAATATATTTTTATACATTCTTAACTAAAATTCAAAACAACATTTGTGATGGTTATTTTTACAGAGATTGAGAAAGGGGCAGGTCCTACCTCCAGGGCCCATACAGAAGAGGGGAGGTCCATATAGTCCAAAACCACAGGAGACTAACTTTGATGTGGACGGTAAGGTGGAAACCATGGCTGATAATTCACCCAGAAGCAACGACCTGCCCATGCATGCTGATCTCCAAAAACGGTGAGAAAAAATCGAGTATCTCGGTACTTATAATGAGTTTAAGGTGGTAAATCACTTGATACATTGTCAGAGAAAAGATGTATCATCATCTCCTCCTGTAATAGATACATGGTCAACTTGGTACTATTATAATAAACTTATATAGGTATTATTATGACAATATTCCTTATACCACGGTTTTATTGTTGGAAAAAAGTTATAGTCATCACTATTAACAATTCACACATAAAGCTATAGAATCACTATTAACAATTCACACACAAAGCTATAGTATCACTATTAACAATTCACACATAAAGCTATAGAATCCCTATTAACAATTCACACACAAAGCTATAGAATCTTATACCACGGTTTTATTGTTGGAAAAAAGTTATAGTCATCACTATTAACAATTCACACATAAAGCTATAGTATCACTATTAACAATTCACACATAAAGCTATAGAATTACTATTAACAATTCACAGATAAAGCTATAGAATCACTATTAACAATTCACACACAAAGCTATAGGATCACTATTAACAATTCACACACAAAGCTATAGAATCTTATACCACGGTTTTATTGTTGGAAAAAAGTTATAGTCATCACTATTAACAATTCACACATAAAGCTATAGAAGCACTATTAACAATTCACACATAAAGCTATAGAATCCCTATTAACAATTCACACACAAAGCTATAGAATCTTATACCACGGTTTTATTGTTGGAAAAAAGTTATAGTCATCACTATTAACAATTCACACATAAAGCTATAGAAGCACTATTAACAATTCACACATAAAGCTATAGAAGCACTATTAACAATTCACACATAAAGCTATAGAAGCACTATTAACAATTCACACATAAAGCTATAGAAGCACTATTAACAATTCACACATAAAGCTATAGAAGCACTATTAACAATTCACACATAAAGCTATAGAAGCACTATTAACAATTCACACATAAAGCTATAGAAGCACTATTAACAATTCACACATAAAGCTATAGAAGCACTATTAACAATTCACACATAAAGCTATAGAAGCACTATTAACAATTCACACATAAAGCTATAGAATTACTATTAACAATTCACAGATAAAGCTATAGAATCACTATTAACAATTCACAAATAAAGCTATAGAATCACTATTAACAATTCACAGATAAAGCTATAGAATCACTATTAACAATTCACACCCAAAGCTATAGAATCACTATTAACAATTCACACACAAAGCTATAGAATCTTATACCACGGTTTTATTGTTGGAAAAAAGTTATAGTCATCACTATTAACAATTCACACATAAAGCTATAGTATCACTATTAACAATTCACACATAAAGCTATAGTATCACTATTAACAATTCACACATAAAGCTATAGAATCCCTATTAACAATTCACACACAAAGCTATAGAATCTTATACCACGGTTTTATTGTTGGAAAAAAGTTATAGTCATCACTATTAACAATTCACACATAAAGCTATAGTATCACTATTAACAATTCACACACAAAGCTATAGTATCACTATTAACAATTCACACATAAAGCTATAGTATCACTATTAACAATTCACACACAAAGCTATAGTATCACTATTAACAATTCACACATAAAGCTATAGTATCACTATTAACAATTCACACACAAAGCTATAGAATCTTATACCACGGTTTTATTGTTGGAAAAAAGTTATAGTCATCACTATTAACAATTCACACATAAAGCTATCGAATCACTATTAACAATTCACACATAAAGCTATAGAATTACTATTAACAATTCACAGATAAAGCTATAGAATCACTATTAACAATTCACAGATAAAGCTATAGAATCACTATTAACAATTCACAAATAAAGCTATATAATCACTATTAACAATTCACACATAAAGCTATAGTATCACTATTAACAATTCACACATAAAGCTATAGAATCACTATTAACAATTCACAAATAAAGCTATAGAATCACTATTAACATTTCACACACAAAGCTATAGAATCACTATTAACAATTCACACACAAAGCTATAGGATCACTATTAACAATTCACACACAAAGCTATAGGATCACTATTAACAATTCACACACAAAGCTATAGGATCACTATTAACAATTCACACACAAAGCTATAGGATCACTATTAACAATTCACACACAAAGCTATAGTATCACTATTAACAATTCACACACAAAGCTATAGAATCTTATACCACGGTTTTATTGTTGGAAAAAAGTTATAGTCATCACTATTAACAATTCACACATAAAGCTATAGAAGCACTATTAACAATTCACACATAAAGCTATAGAAGCACTATTAACAATTCACACATAAAGCTATAGAAGCACTATTAACAATTCACACATAAAGCTATAGAAGCACTATTAACAATTCACACATAAAGCTATAGAATTACTATTAACAATTCACAGATAAAGCTATAGAATCACTATTAACAATTCACAAATAAAGCTATATAATCACTATTAACAATTCACACATAAAGCTATAGAATCAAGACCTGACAGTTTCTTGTAAACTCAATCATCTATCTCCTGATTATAATGGCTGGGAAAGTTATCCCTTTCCTAACTGTATTCTTACTCCTCCAGGAGCCAATCTGTCCAGAACATGGGACCCCCTAGGGAGCCAGAAAGACCTCCTCCTCAGAGACGCATTGACGAGGCCTTACCAGCAGCCCTGGAATACAGAGAAGAGAGTAGGTTATCTCCCATTAAACTTGGCTCACAATATGTTATGTCCCTCATTACAACTTTTTGTTTGAGTGTCTTTAGCATACTTTTATTCAGCTCTGTTTATTTTGAATTTATTATTACATTTAATGGTGATTTCAAAGAACATGTAAAAGAAGTTTGAATAATCAGTATATCTAAACATGCAGATTAGGCAGGTTATTTATTACGACAACATAAAAAGGAAAAAGTGAAGTTTCCGTCTTTTGTAGGAGTTTTGTTCTGATTTGAATGCTAATGTTGCCATTAAAATGCAGATAACATGTTGGTGTTCACCTTTCCAGAGGAGGACGGGTTCTTGACTTCTGTGATACTTGACAATAACTCCGGCACACATTTTAAACTGGCGCCCACATACACCATCTACATGGCACTGAGATATACTCTGTCCAACAACTACCGCCCCGACCTCAGCCCCTCCGAACGAGCCTCTAAGGTCACCATGCTGGTTGCTAAAATCTCCAAAATGATCCTGCAGGCAATCCAGGTAAGAAGACTTATTGGCATGATGTCTCAAGTAAAATTATCCATCACCAGGAACTAAAAGTTACTAGAACAAAAACATTGAAAATATTTTATCTTATGGACATGCTATATATATATATCATGGGAAATGTGTTGGATGAAAGTAATGTAAGATATTTCCTCACGTTTCAAAGTTTCATTCACCACATAAAATAAATATTCTAATTTTATTGAATTCTTTTTACATAAAATTCATAAAGCCTGGAGATACTATATTGGGTGTCAATTCTTTTGGAACAAACAAAATGACCCTGACTATTTGCTGTTCCAGTCCAACTGTGATAACCCAGCTACCTTGGCCTTCTGGATGGCCAATGCTTCGGAGGTGCTCCACTTCTTTAAGCAGGACCATGACGTCCACCCGTTCTCTCTGGATGCCCAGGAGACACTAGCCGAGTCGGTACAGATGGCGTTCCATCACCTGGTACGGTGTCTCCAGTACGACCTACAGAGGACCATGCCTGCCTTCCTAGACGAGAGTGATTCTGCTGATGATGACATGATGCAAGGTATGAAAACCTGGATAGAAAAAATTGAAATCATATTACTTTCTGTGTTCTCTATTGTTAATTTTGGCTTAAATCCAAAAGGTTTTCCCCTTTTTATGCTCATTCCATTTTAGGAAGAGGAGGGGCCGTTACCCATGTCAATCCTGTCCCATCCCATCATGTCATGAATTAACTACTTCATTTCTTTACGAGAACACCTCAAATGAGTTATTACTTCAAAGTCCCCAGCTCAATCATGTGGTCACTTGAGGCAAAGGGAGCATTAATATGTTATACTGATGTTAATTCATTTTTCAACTGTCATAAAAAAATCATGGTGATATAAATTTTAAAATCTTCGGTTTTTCTTTGATACACACTACTGTAAATCAGTATTGTTTCATGAGCTATATATTTCAATATGTGTTCCTTGCTAACAAGTTTAATTGTAAAAGAAAGTGTTCATTTAAATTCAGTGATAAATAGTATCAATATGTTATGTCATTTCTATGATGTATAATTTTGTAAATATTTTGTAAAGAAATTGTCAGTTAAATTTACTTATTCAACCACTTCTAATTACTTACACAGAAGATCCCCGGTACAACAAAGGCAAGCCAACTTTGGGAGATGTCCTCGACACTCTGTCCTCAGCCATGAACCTCCTACGCCGTTGCCGTGTCAATGCAGCTCTCACAATCCAGTTGTTTTCCCAGCTATTTCACTTCATCAACATGTGGCTATTTAACATTATGGTCACTGGACACCACAGCGAGTTCTGTACACGTAGCTGGGGAGTCCGACTCAAAAGGAGGCTTGGACGTATCGAGGCCTGGGCAGAGAAACAAGGACTGGAGTTGGCGGCCGACTGTCATCTATGTCGTATTATTCAGGTAAGGATTTCTGTGGTGAAGTCTCAGACCAAATTGCTTACCATAATCACATTAGATAAAGTGGTTATTATTTTTGAAAATTCACAAATTCACAAAGTCATTTCCAGCATATTGTAGTACATTGTACCAGAATTTATGCAATTTAAAATCATTTTTCTTACCATCCTTAACTAATATCATTCATACTTTACATTGAATGTCCATATCATTCTCTCCTAACATTTCCTGTTTAACATTTCAGGCGGCACACCTACTACAAGCACCAAAGTCGAGCTCTGACGACATTGCAGATATCAGCTCCACCTGCTTCAAGTTAAACTCGCTCCAGATTCAGGAGCTGCTTCAGAGATACATACCAGAACCAGGCGAGCCTCCCATTCCACACAGCCTCATAGAAAGTGTCGTCTCTATAGCACAGAACATGGCCGACGACCTGACAAAGAATGATGGTCGTGAGGTTCAGCTGGAGGAGGACTCCGACTTACAGTTACCGTTCCTGCTACCAGAGGACGGCTACTCCTGTGATACTGTCCGAAACATTCCCAATGGCTTGGCCGACTTCATAGAACCCTTTGCCAGAGCTGGTACGTTTCTCACATCTTGATGTATTGTAGATAGTTGATATCCAGAGCTGGTACGTTTCTCACATCTTGATGTATTGTAGATAGTTGATATCCAGAGCTGGTACGTTTCTCACATCGTGATGTATTGTAGATAGTTGATATCCAGAGCTGGTACGTTTCTCACATCGTGATGTATTGTAGATAGTTGATATCCAGAGATTGTACGTTTCTCACATCGTGATGTATTGTAGATAGTTGATATCCAGAGATTGTACGTTTCTCACATCGTGATGTATTTTAGATAGTTGATATCCAGAGCTGGTACGTTTCTCACATTTTGATGTATTGTAGATAGTTGATATCCAGAGCTGGTACGTTTCTCACATCGTGATGTATTTTAGATAGTTGATATCCAGAGCTAGTACGTTTCTCACATCGTGATGTATTGAAGATATCCAGAGCTGGTACGCTTCTCACATCGTGATGTATTGAAGATATCCAGAGCTGGTACGCTTCTCACATCGTGATGTATTGTAGATATCGAGAGCTGGTACGTTTCTCACATCGTGATGTATTGTAGATATCCAGAGATTGTAGTCTTGTATGGTAGTTCATGATGATACGGATCCTTTACATGTTGAGACATTGTTGTATAATTTCAAGAAAAATATCAATGAACCTCACTTATTGATGGTATTCAATATTTAATGAATGGTTTGCATGTCAGTGTTTTTGTTATCTAAATTTTACAACAGCCTGTTTCTTTATGAATTGGTAAAATGTAGCATTATTTGTATTGAAATTGGGAATATATTCTTCAGTTTTTGGTCATTTTTGAGCTAGGGGGAAACAGCCTGTATTCGTTAGTAAAACTGAGCTGGGGGGAAACAGCCTGTATTCGTTAGTAAAACTGAGCAAAAAAACCTGCATTTAGACAGTTTCTTTGGCATATGTCTTTTTTAATGTTTCAAATTTAAGTCGTTTCTGCACAAAGAAAAATCAGTATTCGCTATAAAGAAGTGCAATGGTTGAAATATAAGCTCTTCTTTTCCTAAATTAATAGCTATGACTATGACTTGAAGAAAGTCTATATATGTGGACAGAAAAAAAGAAGTTAATGTAAAGGAGAAATGTTTTGCTTTTGTTTTGTATTTTTCCTTGATTGAGTCGGCAATTTGAATGTTTAGTAAGATATTTGAAGATCTGTCGGGTATCATTTATACGCAAATTCTCAAATCTTTAAAAAATTTAACAATCTTATTTGTAATTTCATTGCCATAATATCTATAGTCACATGCATCCTCAATTCAACATGTAACAAATACATTTTGAAAAGCGTTTGACCAATTTTTTGCAAGCGAAAGCATTAGGGTTGCCATAGATATTCCTGTAATATTGCTGTGTACTGTTGACAGGTTTGTGTCGTATGGTGGCTCAGCCAGCATCACGGGGGGAGTGGACGGTGTACATGACCAGTGACGAACACATGGTTGATGATGTAAGTGTACCTTCTATCACTAACTGAGTTGGTGTCTGTTTTCTGTCTATATCTTCCTTTGTTTGTGTCCTACATGATGAAATCTTGATGGTCTATATATATTAGGGAATAAAGGATTGATATAGAAGTAGATGGGAGTTTATACAGGAGAATTCATTGCTAGTTGCTTTATTATTAGAGAGTTGCGTGACGTGTGCATTCCCGCCTTGCTCCAAAGAGAAGATTAACAAGTAACATTATGGGTACATTTTTCCTGTTTTGCTTTTACATATTCAAAGGAAAATTGATTCCAATAATTTTACTAGATGTGTCACTATAACAGTATTTTTTGTTGTTTTTCAAAACAAAATTAAAAAACACAAAACAACAAGGTGTAAGTAAATGACTTCTGTATGAATCATTCGATAGCCAATAATGTCGGAGCTTAATCACTTTCTGAGTCAATGACCAATAGTACTGGAGTTTTACTCGCTTTCTGAGCCAATCACCATTACTATTGGAGTTTTACTCGCTTTCTGAGCCAATCACCATTACTATTGGAGTTTTACTCGCTTTCTGAGCCAATCACCATTATTACTGGAGTTTTACTTGCTTTCTGAGCCAATCACCATTACTATTGGAGTTTTACTTGCTTTCTGAGCCAATCACCATTATTACTGGATTTTTACTTGCTTTCTGAGCCAATCCCCATTACTATTGGAGTTTTACTCCCTTTCTGAGCCAATCACCATTACTATCGGAGCTTTACTTGCTTTCTGAGCCAATGACCATTACTATTGGAGTTTTACTTGCTTTCTGAGTCAATCACCATTACTATCGGAGCTTTACTTGCTTTGTGAGCCAATCACCATTACTATTGGATTTTTACTCACTTTCTGAGCCAATCACCATTCCTATTGGAGTTTTACTCGCTTTCTGAGTCAATCACCATTACTATCGGAGCTTTACTTGCTTTCTGAGCAAATCACCATTACTATTGGAGTTTTTCCCGCTTTCTGAGCCAATCACCATTAGTATCGGAGCTTTACTTGCTTTCTGAGCAAATCACCATTACTATTGGAGTTTTACTCGCCTTCTGAGCCAATCACCATTACTATCGGAGCTTTACTTGCTTTCTGAGCAAATCACCATTACTATTGGAGTTTTACTCGCCTTCTGAGCCAATCACCATTACTACTGGAGGTTTACTCGCTTTCTGAGCCAATCCCCATTACTATTGGAGTTTTACTCGCTTTCTGAGCCAATCACCATTACTACTGGAGTTTTACTCGCTTTCTGAGCCAATCACTATTACTATTGGAGTTTTACTCTCTTTCTGAGCCAAGCACCTTTACTACTGGAGCTTTACTTGCATTCTGAGCCAATCACCATTACTACTGGAGTTTTACTCGCTTTTTGAGCCAATCACCATTACTATTGGAGTTTTACTCGCTTTCTGAGCCAAGCACCATTACTACTGGAGCTTTACTTGCTTTCTGAGCTGACGGCCATTAACAGCGGAGCTAGTTCCACATTTTCAGGCAATGTCCATTAGTCCTGAATTCTCGGCTGATAGCCATTAACACTGGCGCTTGCCTTGCCTTTTTAGCTGATTTCATTATTGTTGGAGCTTGTCTTACTACTGTATTGTGAGGTAATGACAGATTAGTATCTGTCCTCTTACGATGCCACTCTTTCTAAGAATTAATCCAGAGCATGCTGGCTGTATGTGCTAGAACAGCCTAGGTTAAGTGTCTGTTCAAGGTCATAGCTGCTGTATGTTACTGCTGCAAGCAAACACCGATACAAGCATTTTCACAGAGTATCAATGTCCCAGAACACGAGCCTCTCTAAAACATCTGTGAACAGTAGAGGTAAATCTACGCTATAAACATCCTGGTAAGGGTTCAGAGATTTACATGGCATTTCTAAAGACATGAACTTATGACCTTGCATATATCACTGAGAAACATTTGTATATTCAGTTTGTACAATTATCCCAGATGACCTCCACTGCCCTTATTGAATGTTTTAGTAAAATTAAGTAAATGATAAAAAATAAATAAAAAATAAATGGGATTTATTGTATTGACAGTTAACATCTTGAAAAGTGACACCTGTCATCATTGTCTCCATCTTAGCAAACCGACCCATGTGGAGCTTCAACGCCTATACCAATTCAGAATAGATAACAATGCTGATTTAAGCACCGAGCAGGATAAATTGTGGTTTACACATACAAAATAGGGCGAAGCACCGAGCAGGATAAATTGTGGTTTACACATATAAGATAGGGCGAAGCACCGAGCAGGATACATTGTGGTTTCCACATACAAAATAGGGCGAAGCACCGAGCAGGATAACTTGTGGTTTACACATATAAGATAGGGCGTAGCACCGAGCAGGATACATTGTGGTTTCCACATCCAAAATAGGGCGAAGCACCGAGCAAGATAAATTGTGGTTTCCACATACAAAATAGGGCGAAGCACCGAGCAAGATAAATTGTGGTTTCCACATACAATATAGGGCGAAGCACCGAGCAGGATAAATAGTGGTTTCCACATACAGAATAGGGCGAAGCACCGAGCAGGATAAATTGGGGTTTCCACATACGAAATAGGGCGAAGCACCGTGCAGGATAAATTGTGGTTTCCACATACGAAAGAGGGCGAAGCACCGAGCAGGATACATTGTGGTTTCCACATACAAAATAGGCCGAAGCACCGAGCAGGATAAATTGTGGTTTACCCATACAAAATAGGGCGAAGCACCGAGCAAGATAAATTGTGGTTTCCACATACAATATAGGGCGAAGCACCGAGCAGGATACATACATTGTGGTTTCCACATACAAAATAGGCCGAAGCACCGAGCAGGATAAATTGTGGTTTACACATACAAAACAGGGCGAAGCACCGAGCAGGATAAATTGTGGTTTCCACATACAAAATAGGGCGATCCCGGCTTTTTGGGAGTATTAGAGGTACTGTCACCTGTAATTGAATTCATTCATATCTTGAGGTTTGTTAGTCTTGGATGATTACATCTACCACAAATAATCTCTTATCGTTTACCTGCCTGGCTCATTTCTGGTCTGAAGTTCCTATAAAAGCTGTTCTGGTATTAATTGGCCTCTTATCAAAGCTTTACATCAATGGACAATATCTGTTACCATGGAAACAATAATAATCCCATCAGATCCTGTAGGAGAAGTTTTCATGGCCTAAGCACCAAAAGATGACTGGCAACCAGCAGTGGAGCTGGAGTTACAGGAAATGGTTGGACACTGATGCTATCAACACAGATATCTCGGTGCTTGACATGTACTCGGGGATAACAGTAGGGATACGACCTCAAACAATGGGTCCCTTTGTTAAGGTCAAAGAAATGCCTTGGTGGAGCTGAAGACACGATGTGTGGTGTATTTATTGGAATGTCAAGTTGCATTGAAAGGGTTATGATGGGAGTCACATTTTCGAAAAAATATTCCATTCTGCATCAAAGATGACAATTCTCTTCCATTCCATAAAGGTTAACGACAACGTTTTTCATTCATTACGAGGGATAATGATATTGTTTTGGGGTTTGTGATAGCTGATTACTTTACCGATTAGATTAGATGTTAATGGGCCATACCACACACAAAGCTGGCTAACGAATTACGCTCTGCTTCATTATATCAAGGGAGCAGATGCTAGTCTTGTCTCTTGCGTCATACCAAAGATGGATTTAGGCGGCTATTTTTCATATCTTGTGATTTCTGCCTTTTGTGACATTTTCATCAGAGAGACCATAATCAATCTAAAGAAACAGCTTTTAGAAAAATTGATAGTCACTTATGAAAATATCAGATACCTATACAACTGTCGCGGATATTTCACTTGAGATCTTTGATCCTTCATTCTGATATATCTTATAATCTGGAGTCTGGTGGACATTTTCCAGGGAATTGTGATAAATCTATCACCTGAGTGTTATGACAGTGTTACGATAGAGTTGTACCCTGGGAGTTGTGAGTTATGAGAACATCACCTGGGAGTCGTAACAAAGATGTTATCTGAGATTTTATATGTGATTTAGAAATTAATGCCTTACTGCCAACAGTTTACAGCAGTTTGAGTGTGAAGTCTAATGAAGCCCTGGAAAAACACTGATTAGACTATTGATTTTTATCAATCAGCTATGTTTGTCAAAGAACCGGCTATGTTTGATTTGAAACCTGATGTCAGCTTTCGCAGACTAAGCTATAATTTGTGTTCCTAGAAATATGACCATGTTCATTTGTGTGGAAGTAGAACACATTTTCCTAAACTGCTGGTTTGAAATAATCACATCTTGTATTTTGAGTTGATTTCTGGAATCTAACGTGATATCCTATATATGAACAAGGGGAATATGTCAGTGTTGCATTGCTTGATTGCATTTTAATATTTCTAGTAGAAAATTTACAATGTGTGGTCAACCTGTTCAGAGCATATGTTTTTAGTGTCTTAATAAAGTGCTCCAGCGTGGTGCTCATGCGTGGTGCCCTGTGTGGTGCTCATGCTGGTGCCCTGTGTGGTGCTCATGCTGGTGCCCTGTGTGGTGCTCATGTGTGGTGCCAGAGAAGAGCCCTATATACTGCCAGTGTAGTGATGTTTGTAGTGCACAGGGAGGAGCCTTGTGTAGTACCCAGCACTGCACAGGGAGGAGCCTTGTGTAGTACCCAGCACTGTGAATTGCAGCCACACAGAATACCAGTAAAGCCTTGTCTATAGGAAATTTCAGCATTAAATGTTTCCTGTATCATACAACAAGTGCGGCTACAAGTGTGAGGACAAACCTACTGCTTGGTATATTGTGATCAAAATTAACTTCTTCACAAATCATTGATCTGGATCTGTCCACGCCGATGTGTCAAATCATACCCTTAGGATTAGGAGGATTATCTACTGACCATTGTCATGTGATGGAGCTGGACTCCAATGGTCAGCATTAGGAGGATTACCTACTGACCATTGTCATGTGATGGAGCTGGA